GCACTTCCTGTCCCCGCCCGCGCCGCCGCACCAGCGAGCCGGGTAGGCCAGAGCGGCCGGGCTGCGCCGCGGCGCCACCGCATGGATGCCCAAGGCACTGCAAGCGAAATGACAGGTGGACGGCCATTGCCTCCGTGGCCCTGCAGGGTCCTCGACAAAGAGCAGGAGGCCTGGGGGCGGGGCAGAGACTCAGCGCAGACCAGGAGTGGCCAGAGGACTGGCTATGCAACAAAACAGCAGTAAGGTAATAAATGCCCGCGTTTATTTAAACGGTAAGATGAAAACATTAAAAAACCCCTCAGGTAAAAAGCCAGCAGGCATTTTAAGCATTTTCAAGGTGCCAAATTCACAACAGCTAGGTCCTGATGATTTACAGGGAGTCCTAGCCTGTCCCAGCCATGTCCCAGCCATGTCCCAGCATGAAGCCACCAACAACCTGGCTTCTACACTAAGCTCCTGCCCAGGCGCTCAGCATGGAAGTTGTGCACATGTGATGCTACAGTCCCCGCAGCAGTTCAGAGGTCCATGACCTCCCACATCAGGATCTCATCATGAGCTGCTGTGAAGAGCAGCCGGGCAGAGGGGGTGAACCTGCACAGGTGCACCGTGTTGTCGTGGCCAGCCAAGTCCTGGGCAGTCCCCGCTGTGCAGTCACCAACCTCAGCAAGCATTCTGTGGGCAGAGCACCAGTGGGACAGGGCCAGGGCCAGGTGCCCACTAAGGGAGTCCCTACCACGGCTGTGTCCTCCACTGGGCGTGGTGCTGGCATGGGGGAGCCCATGCTACAAGGACTCAGGCTGTGTTCCCCATGACCAGGGCTTGCACAGCTGGGGCTGGGGGCAGCAGAGTTGGGGGGCCCATCAGAATCAAGCTGTCCCCCCACATGGGGCTCGTGAAGTCCTGTGGCTGGGCCAGCCAGGTCCCTCGTGGAGTCAGTGGTGTTCCTCTACTCAGGCCCCGTGCCTCCCATACCTCAGCTCTTGACCCTAGGACCTCCCTGAGCAGGTGTCCTCACCCCACTTCAGGTATAAGGAGCCCAAGGTGCAGAGGTGTCCACATCCACCAGCACTCACCAGCGAAGCCAATGGCCATGAGAGCTCCCGGGGACAGGCTCAGGGATATGGCAGAGAAAGGCAGCGATATCTTCTCCACCATCTGTGGGCAGCAAGCATGAGGCCTTGGGGCCCCTGGGCCTGGGTGGTGGGGGCTTCCACTCAGGGCTCAGCCCAGGCTCCTACCGCCCAGCACCCCGCCCCCACAGTCCTGGACCCCGGGCTTCCAGCGCCAAGCAGGCAGGTGCAAGTACCTGTTTCTGGCAGAGGCTGTAGACGGTCACCTCCTGATGTACTCCAGCACCCTGGGTAAACCACCAGTACCCCATCCCAGGGGCAGAAGGCAGCAAGGGAGGAGGGCGGGAGGCCCCAAGTCTGCAGAGGCACAGCACACTGTGGCAGGGTGGTTGGGCACCATCCCCACCCAGACTGTCTTACCTCCTTGGGGGCAGGTGTAGGGAAGCTCAACCAGTCCACGAGCTCACAGTGGTCCCGCAGCCAGTTGGAGGCCCAGATACTAACCCACTGGTCCCCACTGGCCACCAGCCACAGGTCTGTGCCCTCCACACCTAAGTCTCATACTGGGGGGGAGTGAGAGCTGATGGGGTTGCCAGACCCCAGCCCCTTAGCCCCCCAACTCTCAAGGCTGCTTCACCTCTTTGCTCATGTTCTGGGTGGTAGAGATGGGGGCACCACGGTAGTCATTCAGCACACGGAAGGTCATCCCCGTGCAGGGGTGGCTCACAGCCACGAGCCCGTCCTCGTCTCCTGAGAGGACAATCTGCCCTGGACCGAGAGGGACCACACCATCACCCTGAGCCCCAGCCCAGAGGTCACACCCGTAAGCCCGGCTCCTCATCATTGGTGGAGAAGGCGATGGCCATCAGTGCCGCCATGTGGGGGCACACCTTGAGCTTCAGGGCAGTGTGGAACACGCTGAACAGGCGCAGCGAGCCGTTGCCGTAGCCTGCCACCACCCGCTGCTGCTCCTGGCATCCTCTGGATGGGGGGCTCCATGCCAAGCAAAGGCAGCTCTGGGGCCCATGGCGAGAGGTATCAGCACCCAAGGAGGGGCAGGGGCACATGTGGAGCCCCTTAGAGACAGGCACCTGCAGCCCTGGCGCCCTCCCCCCCCACCTGGTTCAGCACCTGGAACTGGATCACCAGCTCCATGCTGGCCATCCTCACCACACATGGCACCGTGTGACTCACTAAGGCTAAAGACCACCTCGTTCACCTGTGGGTCCACGGCCAGCCCAGCCTGAGCCCACATGGTCCACAGGCCCATCCCAGCCCCAGGGCCAGCTTGTCCTGGTGACAGCATGCCTCTGGCCCCAGCCAAGTCCCAGGGTACTAGATAGTCCTGACTTCCCATGTCTTCCCAACCAGACACAGGCAGCCACAGAGCTGCCCTGACAGACTCCAACACACTGCAGTGTGGTTGCATTCCTAGCAGGCTCGGGCTGAGGCCCAAAGCACAGGCCCAGCCATCTAGAGCGGACATGTTGGCTGCTCAGACTGCTGTCTTTTCCTGATGTTGCAGTGTATGTCTCAAGGGAAAATGCAGATGTGTCCTTGCACAGGTGCCACTGGGAATGGGGCATTCCAGTGCTGGAGAAAGGAGACACATGTGCCACATACTGACAAGACAGGGTGAAACCACCTAGTTCTGAGTCTGAACTCCAAGTGCAAATGTGATACATTTCTTCTTTTAAAAACGTCTTTAGAGGCTGGGCTCGGTGGCTTAGCCTGTAATCCCAGCGCTTTGGGAAGCCGAGGTGAGTGGATTGCCTGAGCCCACAGGTTCGAGACCCGCCCGGGTAACTTGGCAAGACCTCATCTCTACAATAAATCAAAAATTAGCCGGGCGTGGTAGCACGCACCTGTACTTCCAGCTACTTGGAAGGCTGAGGCAGAAGGACTGCCAGAGCCCAGCAAGTCAAGGCTGCGTTAGCCGTGAGTGTGCCACTGCACTCCAGTCTGAACGACAGAGTGAGACTTCAACTCAAAAAAAAAAAGTCTTTAGCTCAGTCAGTTGAACAAAAATGGGGCTCCCTGGGACTTAGACCAGGACCTCTAAATCCATTCCCCAGGTGGGTGCGGTGGCTCACACCTATAATCTATAATCCTAGCACTTTGAGAGGCGGAAGTGAGAGGACTGCCTGAGCTCAGGGTTTCGAACCCAGCCTGGGCAACATGGCAAGACCTCATCTCTACAATAAATCAAAAAATTATCCAAGCATGGTGGTGCGTGCCTATAGTTCCAGCTACTCGGGAGGCTGAGGTGGAAGGACTGCCTGAGCTCAGCAGATCAAGGCTGCAGTGGCTGTGAGCCTGGACCACAGAGTGAGACTCTTACTCAAAAAACAAATAAATAAAAGGAAAATTAAGCCGGGCTCAGTGGCTCAGCCTGTAATCCCGCCCCTTGGGAGGCTGAGGTGAGTGGACTGCCTGAGCCCGTGGGTTCGAGACCCGCCTGGGCAACTTGGGGAGACCTCATCTCTACAATAAATCAAAAAATTAGCCGGGCGTGGTAGCGCACGCCTGTAGTTCCAGCTATTTGGAAGACTGGGGTGGAAGGATCGCCAGAGCCCAGCAGGTCGATGCTCCAGTGGTCGGGGGCTTGCCACTACACTTCAGTCTGGGCGACAGAGTGAGACTCCAACTCAAAAAAAAAGAAAATTAAAAAACAAATAATTAGACTGGGAAGCAAGCCAATGCTTGGACACTGGTCCAAGAAGGGAAGGAATCTAGCACCTGCCCCACTGCCTCAACCTCAGCCAGGCCTGAGAAAGCTGATGCAGCTGCTCCCTCCTACATCTGCAGGTTGGTCAGAGCAACAGAACCACAGTGTCCCCTGCAACCCCATGGTCCTCCTAGGTCGCCAGAGGCCCATGTCTCCATGTGCTTCCCAGGGAGACACAGCTTCAGCACAAGGCTGGGACTAACTGGGCCTGACAGGACCTGATCAGGACCTGACCTGGCCCTGACTAGCTCTGACCTGGTCCTGATCAGAACCTGACCTGGCCCTGATCAGCCCTGACCAGAACCTGACCTGGCCCTGACCAGAACCTGGCTGGCCCTGAAACCTCACCAGAAGCTGACCAGCCTTGACCAGACCTGACCTGGCCCTGACCTAGACCTGACCCAGCTCTGTCCAGCCCTGACCCTAACCAGAACCTGACCTAGACCTAGGAAGAATCTGGCCTAGCTCTAGCCAGTCCTGCCCAGCCCTGCCAGAGCCTGACTCCTCCTGACCTCTTGAACTCAGGGAAGGCCTTGCAGGACTGCGGTAGCAGAGCCTGCTGATACATGGTGCAGGAACAAATGACGTGCTTTCTCCAACAAGCACATTACAAGGAAAAAAAAAACCAGTGGAGGGAGAGGAAGAGCTCAGGAGACCCAAGGCCTGTCGGGCAACCCCTTGTAGGCACTCCCTGGATCCCACGCCCAGCAACAGGACAGCCTCTGGGGATGTGTGCAAGGGCCCCACCCAGAAAACACGAGCAACTTCTCAAGTGCCACAGTGATGGCCAGCCCAGAACTAAGTCGGGGTTGGGGACAGAACGGGCAGGTGGGAGGTGCCATGTGGCCTGCTGCCCACCCCGTCCAGGCTGGACAGCCTCACCTTGCTCCTGTGGCTGCTGATGAGTTGGGTGCTACTGCCCTCAGCCCAGCTGACGTACCGAGCATGCCCACTGCAGTGCCCACAACACCCATGTCCACACTGTCACTGAAGCTGGAGCTCACAACGGCCCCATCCAGGGTCAGCTTGTGCTCCATGAACACAGAGCTGGACCTGAGGGTGCAGAGGAAGGGACAGCAGGTCTGAAGGCCAATAAGAGCCAGCTGCTGTGTTCAGCCAAGGCAGGCCCGTGGCCATAATGTCCTGGGCCTAGCTGGGATCCCAAGGAGGCAGTGAGTGCCCATGAAGCCAGGGGCTTCGAGCCCATCCCTGTCCCTAGGCCACACCCAGCCATGTCCCCCAGAGGGGAGCAGACCTCACCTGGGAGACAGTGGGCCTGCAGGATGGCTCACCTGGCACTGGCGCCCTCATACCTCAGCTCCAGCATGGCCTTCACAGTCCACAGGTGCAGCCGCCCCATGTTGCTGCCGCTGACCACCTGCAAGCCTGAGCACAGCAGCACTCCTGGAGGGCGAGGGAGTTGGGTCATGAGCCACTTTCCAGACACTCTGGACCACAAGGTCCCAAGTAGGGTCATGCACCCTGAGGGGCCACAGGGACTTTATCAGGCACCCACCAAGCTCGCAGTTGTCTGCTTCCCAGGTCAGGAAGCAGCAGCCAGCATGTGCGTTCCACATGCAGACCTGGCCAGAGCTGGAGTCGCAGTAGAGCAGTGGTGGTGTACCATAGCAGAGCGAGGTCAGCTTGCTGGCCCCCACTACTCTAGGGCTGGCGTTCGGTGCACCTGGCAGGGCATAAGAGGGGCTGTGGGTTAGCACATCCTGGGGTCCAGCCAGATTCTACCACCTAACCCGACTCTGGACCCAAGCGCGCAACCCAGTGGCCCAGCACCTGAAGGCTGAGGTCTGCACTGCGCTGCCGCAGAAGCCAGAAGGTGATGGCCCCCTGGCCCACACAGGTGAGCTCGCCAGCATTCCAGGGGCTGAAGGCCATGCCATGCACTGGCTCCGAGAGGTGGGTGGAGGACACGACGTCATAGGTGGCCATGCTTCACAGGGCGAGGGTGTGGTCATCATGGTCCCCTGGGGGAGATGCATCAGGGGCAGCTGCGTCAGGGGCAAAGGCCCAGACCCAGGGATCCAGGGGCACCCTTGCCCTGCGCCTGCCCTGTCACAGAACCAGCATGGTGAGGAGCCCATCGTCCAGTGAGAAGGCCAGGACCTGCACAGCAGTGTCGTGGTGAGACATGAGATGCCGGCAGAGGACCCCAGGTACATCCCAGACATGGATCTGGCAGTGGGCAGCCATGCTGCTGCAGCCTGAGGCAGAGACCAGAACATGGCAGGCAGGAGGGCAGGCAGGAGAGCAAGCAGTCAGCAGGGAGAGTGCGGCCAGCTGGGCCCACTTGGCTTTGCTGGCTCTGACGGGAGAGGAGGCTAGGACAAGTCATCACCGTCTCTGGCACTCCGCTGTGCTGCGGCCCTGGGGGTAGAGGGCGCACAGGGTAGGCACCTGGGCACTGTGGCTGAGGGCCAGAGTGGAGATCTCAGGATGGCCAAGCCAGTGCTGCTGGGTGCCAGAGTGCAGGTCCTCTACCACCACCAAGCGGCTACATGTGTAGGCAAAGAAGCCTGTGGGTGGGGAGGGTGATGCTGGGGCTATGCGGGCAGACAGGGCCCCAAGGGTTAGCAGTGTCCCTAGGGTGTATCCTCCTTGTCAATCAGCAGTCATGGGGTTGCATGCGATGTGGGCTGGAGCCAGGAGGCATCACTGGAAGAACACAGTACCCCAAACCCATGGCTGGGCGCACACTTGACCCGACGGTCCAGTCTGGAATGGACAGGGCCAGGTTCCGCCTACACCTCTTGCCCGTGGGTGGGCTCTCGGTCCCCACCTGTGTCCGGTCTCCAGACCATGTTGGCCTGCCCAGCCCCACTGTACCCTATGACAGCCTTCAGACGCAGTCACTTGCCACTGGAGGGAGGGAAAGAGGCCCCCTGTGAGGAAACAGAACCAGAGCTGATTCCTGGCCGAAAGCCTGCACGTGGGAGCTGCTTTGGACACCTAGAGACAGCTGCGGAGGGCACAGGGGCCTCGATGGGGAAGCCAGGGTAGGAGGCATGGGAGCCACCAAGCTCGATGTCCAAGGGACAGGCCTCGGGGCACTCAAGGGCAGCGACTGGGGAGAGAAGAGGTGGGCAGGACACCATCACTGGGGTCTGGTTTGAGTGCCAGGGGACAGCGTGTGTGTGGGTGCTGGAGGAAGAGGGGACCCTCAGGGTGACAGGCCCGCGGCCCAGAGCACTGTCAGCCTGAGAGACCACGAGCAGCCTGAGGAGATTCTGGAGACCCTGAGGGCTCTTGGAAAGCACTCCTGGCATGGGCGGCAGGGCTCACGGCTGACCTCAGCAGACCTGGAGACCTCGCAGCAAGCCAGGAAGTGCCTGCAGGAGTTCAGGCAGGTGAGGGGCTGGGCCCCCCTTTTCCTGGTACTCCAGGTACCTGCAAGGAAGAGGAAGAAGCCACAAGACATCAGACTGCCTGGCAGCGTTTCAGAGACACCCTACTGGATGGCAAGAACCATGTGGTGGGGCCAATGCTCAAGACCACAGGCACAGCTAAGCTTCGTCCTGCCACACCCACCGAACCCTAACCCACACCCACCGTAGGTCCTAGAGGTGGCCTTGCCTCATTGTACAGGGGCCACCCCACCTGCCCTCAGGCCACCTGCACCTAGAATTTGGTCCCCAGGGATCCCTGCGCTGCCCTCCACTGCTCACTGGGCTGGCCACAGGGATGGGGAGGTGCAAGCCCACTGCAGCCTCCCAGGTCCTGTCTCCAGCCTCGCCGGCCTCCTTCTTCATCAGCAAGGGTGGGCCTGGGGCCTGGCGAAGCCCCTCAAGGCCACGACTCTCCTCACAGGGCCCCTCCTCATCCAACTTGGAGAATGTGCCTAGAAGTCACAAAAAGAGAAGGAGCCAGTCGGGCTCGGTGGCTCAGCCTGTAATCCCGCGCGTTTGGGAGGCTGAGGTGAGTGGATTGCCTGAGCCCGCGGGTTGGAGACCCGCCTGGGCAACTTGGCGAGACCTCATCTCTACATAAATCAAAAAGTAGCCTGGTGTGGTAGCGCGCACCTGTAGTTCCAGCTACCTGGAAGGCTGAAGCAGAAGGATCACCGGAGCCCAGCAGGTCAAGGCTGCGGTGGCTGGGAGCGGCCACTGCACTCCAGTCTGGGCAACAGAGTGAGACTCCAACTCAAAAATAAAAAAAAAGAGAAGGAGCCTACGCTCTTTGCCCCCACCCACACCCCCATGAGAGGCAATGGCACACCATGCCCCACAGAGCCAGGCCCCAGGCCTCCCAGGGCCTCCCAAAGCCCCGCCCCTCACCATCTCCACCTCCAGGAGGCCCAGCACGGATGCCCATCCGTGGCAGGGATGCCTCGGATGGCTCCAGAACCTTCTGCCGGGGGAGCCCATTGTCCCCAGACACCACGTCCTCCCGCTGTCCTGTGCTGAGGCCTGGGGAAAAGGAGACACATGGCGCTCAGGGCCAGGGGCTGGCAGAGTTTGTGGGGGAGGATGGTCTCCGTGGTGGTGACAGGGCACACAAGGTAGCCTCCCTGGCCATAGAAAAACAAGCAGTGCCATGCCACCAACATGGCCACAGGACCAATCCCTGGTGTCAGCACAGTGCCTACAGCCTCTCCACACCTGCTCCTCCAACCCAGCTCCGGCTACTCACTGGTCTTGCAGGCTTGCGGAGACCCAGGCAAGCTTCGGTCACGGGAGAGGCAAAGAGACAGGGTGTCAAGAGGGCCTAGCGGGAGGCCTAGGCAGGTACAGTCGGGGTGGACACTTGCCTCTCAGGAGCAGCCAGGATATCCCAGAGAAAGATGGCGTCCCCCACACTGAGAACCTGCTGCTGGTCAGGGGTGAAGGCCACAGCCTGCACAGGCTCTGGGGGACCCCAAGGTGTGGCTGGGAACACAGCTGTGATCCAGCCTCCAGTCTGGCAGTGAGCTCCTCCCAGCTCACTGTGACCCTCCCAGGCACAGAGGGTCCTGGGAGGGTCATGCTCCATGCTCCACTCTCCCGTCCCCTGCCCCTAGAGCCACGCTGTCCCATCTCCACCTGGGCATCCAGGATCTCCCAGCTGCCTGCCCATGACACACACCGGGAGCCTGGGCTGGCCTGAGTTGAGTAGTCCCACACTTTGACAGCCTGGCCGGCAATAGTCAGCAAGAGGCAGGCATCCTTGCGGAGAGCCAGGGAGGGGCAGGCCATGGGGTGGGCTGGCCAGCTGCAACACAGTGTCCCAGGGAATGCTGCTTCTTGGAAGAGAATCAGCAGGCCTTGGGCCCAACCTCCTCCCAGGGTGTGGCAACCCGCCCCTCCAGCTGGTTGGAGGGCCTGCAGATGCAGAGGCTGAGCCCAGGAAAGACAGAGATGGCCAGACTGCTGGCCGGAGTCCCAGGGCTCACCTCCTGGATGGTGCAGCCCAACTTGGCTTCCAGCACCACAACTCTGCCAGACGAGGTAGACACCAGCAGGTGGCCCAGGGCCACAGGGCTGAAGCTCACAGCCACTGCTGAGTCCCGGAGGCCTGCAGTCAGGTCCGGGATGCTGCCATCGACCTGTAGCAGCTGAGAGAGAGCAGTGAGTGATCGCTGGTCTGCACCTCCAGGCAAAGCTGGTGACACCCAGAGCCGGGTTCAGGACAGAGGTGGCCTTGGGACATGCACATGGTGCTGGGCAGTGCCTGACCTCACACTGGGAGCAAAGTCAGCTCTGCACCTCACATGGCTTGTGTGTTCTGCAACCATGAGGTGTGGCTCCTATGACTGTGGCCTCCTGCCTACCCCTGGGTTCTTGCCAACCCATGCAGAATTGTGTGGCAGGAGCAGCCAGGATATCCCAGAGAGGCAGGGAGTGCTGACAGGCCCTGCAGCCAGCTACACATGGCCCAATCACCCTGGACCCAGAAGGCCCCAAGACCCACCTCATCCAGAGAGGCTGAGGCCATGACAGTCCTCGTGTACTTGGAGGGGCCCACAAAGGCCAGCAGGTGGCTGTCCCTGCTGACTGAAAGTGTGCAGGGGCCTGGGGAGGCATCCTGGCAGGCTACATTCACTGCAGCGGCAAAGAACAGATGGATTAGCAGGGGGAGCACCTAGGCACACCCACCCAGGCCAGGGCCAGAGAAGCCACCACCCCACCCTGCTTCCACTTTCAGGAAACAACAACCCAGAGATGATAGGTCCCTCGGAGGCTTGGGCATAAGGGTGCCGACATGCCAGGGAGCGCCAGGTACTGCCAGGAAGCTGAGAGTCCCTGTGGGCCAGGAGTGATCACCAGTGACTGCCTGGCCAGCCCATTATGGCAGCCACAGGAGAGGGTGGATGCCTCTACCTGCTGCCCTGATGCTTGGGCCATCTGTCTCCTCCACGGGCACAAGCCCTCGCTGACCTCTGGATTGTGGGGCTGGTGACCCTTAAAACAACATTCCTCCCAGAGGTGGACAAGACTACTGGAGACAGCCACACAACTCTGCACGGGACCCAGCCAATGGACCAGGATCTAGGCCTATGGGTCCAGGTGTTGGGCTGAACCATGCCTAGGGCCTCCTCGCCCTCAGGACCAGCCTGGGTGGCTCGTGGGGGCCCACCTGCCACATGGAGGACGCTGCACTGGGGGACAGCACAGTCATACTGGGCCATGGTGCCCCGGGAGCAGGAGCTAAACAGGAGGTGGCCATCAGGAGTGACAACCAGGCCAGTGATGGCTCCTCGGTGACACCTGTGCATACACGGGATACCCACCAGCCTGTTTTGGAGCCCAGCCAGGAAGAGGGAGCCCTGAGGGTCATACTGTCAGGGACTGCCAGCCACCTGGTCTGGTCACAGAACATCCAGCAGGGCAGCAGAAGGCAGGCTTCAGGCAAGGCTGACCTGTCCACAAACAGCCCTGTTCTACCTAGCTGTACTCTCCCAGGGGTCCCACAAAGTATCCCAGATTCCACTGTGGGGTCTCTGTGTGGCACAAGCCTCCCGGAGGGCTGGCAGCCAGCTGGGCACCCACTTGTGTTCCATCAGGGACTCAGTGGCCTCCAGGCTGAAAGCACACACAGTTCCACTGCTGAAACCACAGAAGGTCGGCCACATAGGGTGGAAGGCAACGGCACATGGGGCCTCAGCAGGTGACATGAAGTCATACAGCTATGGGGTGGAGGCAACAGCAGGGGTGGGCAAGGGTGGCCACAAGAACCCAAGGGATGAGAGGCTCTCCAGGTGGCTTGAACCCGCCAGGTCTGACGCAGGCTGGAAGGCCTGAGGTCCCTCCCTGCAGACCCCTTCCCCACACACCCCCTTGGCAGACCCCTGGCCCTCCCATGCCCTCCCTGTCATGCCTGCCCCACCATGCCCCACCTGCTTCAGGGTGGCCATGTTCCAGACGCGGATGGTGTGGTCCCAAGATACGGTAGCCAGCTGTCTCCTGCTTGGCTCGATGGAAAGCGCCAGCATGCCAGCACCGGGGCTGTGTGGGTGTGAGTATGCACATGGTACTCCCGGGAGGGGATGTCCAGGAAGCCCCGGTGGCCCGAGGTGGCGGGCAGCACATGGAAGCCGTTGGAATCGACACAGACTAAACTGACGGGGCCCTCGTGACCTTGTGCTCTGTGGGTGGGGCAGGTCAGCCAGGCACCAGAGCTGAGCCAGATAGGCTTACAGCTGCCCAGGCATCCAGGTCCCCAAGACACAAAGAAATCTTTGCTTCTAAGAGCCCCAGCCTTCTCAAGGCTGGAAGAGGCCTCACCCACCACCCACTGGGCCCTTCCATCCATGGGAAGTCCTGGTACAGTGGAACCCAGGGCTCAGGACACTGTCCCTTGGCCCTGTGACTCCCAGTTCAGCCCAGGGACAGTGCTGCCCTCCCACTACCCTGCAGGTCCTCCAATGGCTCCCCCCCACCTCAGTGGCAGGGGAGGCATTCCCCAAGCCAGGAGTGCATATGCCCAGCCTCACCTGCCTCCAGGAGCACGGAGGAGAAATCCAGGCGCCAGAGACAGAGGTAGCTATCTTCAGAGCCCATAGCACACATAGCCGAGGAGATGCTAAGGCTGCTGATGGCAACGCAGGGGCCTGGAAGCCAGGGTGTCAGTGTCTGGGCATCAACACTGCTGCCCTCATACCACTGGTGTCCCTTACCTGAGCTGAAGGCCTGCTTCTTTAGGTGGGAGTCACCTGGAGTTTGTGTGGGCAACAGGCAGCTGGTAGCCTTCACAGCCATGCGGTGGGGGTTGACCTCCAGGATGTGACCACTGCGGTTACACACACAGCTGCCAGAGAAGGAGGGTAAGGGGGGCCCAAGGGCAGAGGGCACGGGGACACAGGGTCAGGCTAGGTGGGAAAAGCGGGACTCACAGCGTGCAGGTCACGGTCTCCCAGCACCCGTCTGGGGCCCACTTGAAGGCGAGGTCGGGGAAGTGCAACGCGTGGTACTCCCCCAGGTCCAGAGGGCAGGAATGCAGCACCCTGCCAGCACAGTCGCCACAACCGCACACTGCCCCGTTCGCATGACGCCATCCCGCAGGCCGATGAGTAAGCAAGGCCCAGTGCCCAAACCACAAGGAGACACAGACAGAGCTGTGAATGAGGGACCTCGAGCTAGGAGCAGAGGGGCTCAGGCCCTGTCCCAACACCATGGAGGGCTGGCTATGTCACCTGGTTTCATCGGAAGAAGTGAAGCGGGAGGCCTGGATGTTGAGGTCTGTGTGCACCTTCGCCAGGACGACCACCTCGCCCCTGAGGCCCACCTGGCCTGTGCCCCAAGCCACCACCATCTGCAACAAGCCCACGCTGAGCTCTAGGCCACAGTGCCCAGCCAGGGCCCTCCCTCAACCTGCCTGACCCAGGAGGCCCTCTGAGCCCCACCAGCTTGTGAGGCTGAGGGAGGAGACAGCCCCCCACGCCTGCCCCAAGTTGTGGCTGGCTTTGGGACCCTGACAGAGCCACAGCCCCTCCTCAGAAGAGAAAACACTGACCTGTGAGGAAAGGGCAGACAAAAAGCAAGAGGAAGCCCACAGTGAAATGTCAGGGACATGTCAGACCTTTGAAGGTGCCACTGTTCTCACGCACGGGTCAGTCTCCCGGTGCTGAGGCACCACGAAACCACATCACACCCCGAAACCACATCATACCATGAGAACACAACGAGCCATCAAGACACCGACTCAGGGCAGGGAGCGGAAGGAGTGTGTAGAGAGCGGAAAGTCGAGGCATGACACGGGACCCTTCCATGGTCTTTCAGGTGGGGCAGTGGATAACATGCTCCCAGAGTGCATGGAGCCCAGGACCCATGGAACCCTGCCCAGGAAGAGGCCGAGTGGGAGCCTGCAATCCTGTGGATACACCCAAAGACAGGTTTTAGAAGAGAAAGCAAGCCAGGCTCGGTGGCTTAGCCTGTAATCCCAGCACTTTGGGAGGCCGAGGTGAGTGGATTGCCTGAGCCTGCGGGTTCGAGACCCGCCTGGGCAGCGAGACCTCATCTCTACAATAAATCAAAAAATTAGCCGGG